GGTTATGGACAAAATCTTGCTGTTTCTGGTGGTGCAGCACAAGACATTAAGTGGCTGTCCAGAGGTTGGGCCGATGAAAAAAAATATTACTTTTACCATAATAACTCCTGTGCTTCGGGAAAAACTTGCGGACACTACACTCAGGTAATTTATTCGTTTCTTTCTAATGTCACAAACCTCTACTTTTGACCTGTGTTATGCTCACCACTGGTGGTTGGGTGGCTATGACCCGCATTTTTAAGCCTTGGAATTATTTATGTAGATGGTATGGGCCACCTCGGAAAAACTTGGCTGCGCAATCAATCGGTGTGACAATATATTTCCTCAATGGCCTAAACCAATTTATCTCCTGGCTTGTCAGTACAAACCTCCGTGAGTCTACTTGCATATTTGCTTATATGAAGATTTCTAGTCGACAAGAACAACATCCCTATTTTTTGCACATTTAGAGGCAATTTTTTTAGAAAAAAGCCCTATGAGGAAGGAGCACCGTGCACCCAATGTCCCGAATTCTCCACTTGCAAAGACAAACAATGCTCGAGCAAGTTGCTTTGATGAGCAATCACAAGGTAGCACCACAAAACTTCCAAAGTTGTGCATCGTTTTTTGAACCGTTTTAAAGTGCCTCGCGATTGTAATTTAAGTTTTGCTTGAAGTAACTAATAACAAGCATTCATTCATTCATTCTATTGCTTGGCTTCGACTTCGCACCAACTACATCCCGAAACAAAACTTAAAACTAGTGAGAATCACCAAAACTGCAAGGTATGCCTGCGTAGGTGTGGTGTCGTATAATTATAGCGCTATGGATTTTTAAGGCTTCTGATCTGGCCCGCGGTAGAATTGTGTCGTAGCTGGTCCACTTTTGGGGCGCTACCAAATGGGCGCGAACGGTAGCCGTAAACAGAGCGTTTGAATTATAAGGAATGTTAGCTTGAGTAAGGAGGAAAGTTGCCTAATGGTATTATTTTGACGCATCCTAAAGAGGATATTTCTGATGGAATTCTGCTGGACTTATATCAGTTTAGCTGGTCCACACCCATTGTAACTTGATTTCATATTTATGGCTAAGGCGCTGACACAACCCTTTTGGCAGCACTTTCAGTCCTTACGTGGTTCAGGCCGAACTAAAGCGGATCATATTTAGTGTCAACCAAGTTGTTGTTATCGGCCTATCATTCCGTTCAAAAGTGCGGTGGAAAAGGCAAGGCAAAATACCATTGTTTCACTTTATTTGTGCAGATGAACTGCGAACGCAAATGAAGCCTTTATGTTGAAAGCGCATATTTTACATGAACACCAAATAAATGCCTCTCGAAGTGCTCCTATGAAATGAATTTTTAACGAATTCTGCCCTGTCAGTCAGTTCATTTAAGGAGCGCTGGAGAGAGGCGATGATAGACCGAGGGATCTCACACCTAAGCGTCTTGTGATTGCAGATTTAAGTAGCCAAATTCTTCGGTGGGCCTTCAGATTGCAATTTGTCAAACCAACATTTCCTGCAAATACGGCTGATTTAGGAATAACATCTTTCCTATCTGCTTAAGTGGGGAATGGCATTTGCGAAAATTTTAATGTCCTGCGATTCATTGCCCTCCTCGCCTCGATGAAGAAGTAGCCCCGTGCTCATGAAATTTGATGCCAATTACGAAGCTGAGGATGAGAACAATGTGACAACAAAGGCACTTCTCAATCCTCGAATGCGGTAGAATTACAGGTTGTAATAAAATACAACAACGTAAAGATCACTCCAAATAAGTAGCCCATGACCGTGGTGGAAGTACAAAACAAGCCACATTTGCCCCTACTTGGAAAGAGGAGGTTAATATGCCTCCCATTGGATAGTCCAACAGAAATGTGAGATACTTTTCAGCTCAAGTCTTAACGACGTCTAAAGGCAGACAATGCAGCACAAAGAAGTGCTTGAAAGAAAGTAGGATTGCAGATATACTTACGTGCATTTTTATATCCGTATACCGCATGATAGGAGAACTCAGCTTGACCAGCTTCTTTAAAGATGTCATATGTAATAAAACGCTGCTTAAAAGCTTCGCCTTGACCGTCTTTTTGTACATCCAAATCACATTTTTCTTTAGCGCATTTGCAATTGCAATTCACATGATAGTGATGCCGGTTGCGATTATTTACCAGCTGACCCTTCCCTTCTTTTTCATATAAAGTAAAATCGCATTTCTTTCGGCCGAAATTGCTTTTTAAAGTGAATAAACATTTTACAAATGGAAAGTCAGTCTACCAACTGCTTAGCTCAAATAAACTTCTTTCCCCTTCTTTTAATAGGTAAATTTTTAATCTCATAAATCCGCTTAGGCAAAGGCGGGACCATTTTTATATCCATTCGGTCTATTTTCTTTAACAGGACACCGAAAAAAGAAATATGACCTTTCAGCATTTGAACCGTAAAAAGACTTGTTGATCTCACAGTTGGGGTGAAGAGAACATTTTCCCATCTGAGCACAGGTACTTAACCACATGAGCTGTCCTTTATGCTGTCAATAACAAGGCAGCATTAACATTAAGTCTGCAGTGTTATCTGACATAAAAGCAGTGTAAGAGAGTCGTCAACCTTGTGGCAGTTAACAGCAGAGGTCCGAAATATGGATCACGCAATCACGCCTGCATGCTAACTGGGACAGTTTTCATCTGTATGCTAGACTAATGCTGCCCCCGTGTACAAGTTAGGTGGAAATAGAAAGTTGGCATTTAGCGTCTACAAGTTATTCTGCTCTAAGCGCCCACGAATGACTGCTAGAAGAGAGAGTACTTTAAAGGCGCTTGATTAATTGACACACAGGGGATATCACGATTTCCAACTTCTCCTTTACAGATGCTTCCACACATAGCAACGCATAGTGGTTAGCCGTAATTTCACCGCAAATAGGGGTGGGGAAAAATACGGAGGCCCTTTTTATTCTATTTACTCCTACTCAATTGGATGGAGGAAGACGGGACACGTAGCAAATGTTAATCAGCCCATTCTCTTCTTTTCTGATTCTCTAGAGTTCATGGCAGGACTGCTATCCACCATTTG